TCTTATATTTTAAATAAATCGTGTCAGCCAGATCACTGTCTTGACACTTGTAAAAAATTGAATTCTAAGTCATCTGTTTGTAAGTGCGGATGTGTTACTTTTGGTGTTTGTAAGTATGTATGTGTGTAAGTGTGGATGTGTTACTTTTGGTGTTTGTAAGTATGTATGTGTGTAAGTGTGGATGTGTGTAAGTGTTGATGTAAGTGTTGATGTGTGTAAGTGTGGATGTGTGTAAGTGTGGATGTGTGTAAGTGTTGATGTAAGTGTTGATGTGTGTAAGTGTGGATGTGTGTAAGTGTGGATGTGTGTAAGTGTGGATGTGTGTAAGTGTGGATGTGTGTAAGTGTGGATGTGTGTAAGTGTTGATGTAAGTGTTGATGTGTGTAAGTGTGGATGTGTGTAAGTGTGGATGTGTGTAAGTGTGGTTGTGTGTAAGTGATGGATGTGTGTAAGTGTGGATGTGTGTAAGTGTGATGTAGTGTTGAAGTGTGGTAGTGTTGAGTAAGTTGTTGATGTGTGTAAGTGTGATGTGCGTAAGTATGGATGTGTGTAGTGTGGAGTGTGTAAGTGGTGGATGTGTGTAAGTGGGGCATGTGTGTAAGTGTGGTGTGTGTAAGTGTGGATGCGTGTAAGTGTGGTGTGTGTAAGTGTGGATGTGTGTAAGTGGATGTGTAGTGATTTGATGATAAGTATGATGAGTGTAGTTGGATGTGTGTAAGTGTGGTTATTGTGTGTGTGTAAGTGTGGTTGTGTGTAAGTGTGGTTGTGTGTAATTGTGGATGTGTGTAACTCGTGGTGTTTGTAAGTTAGGCAACTTCATTTGTGACGGAGGATCGAGCCTCCATCGCACGCAGTCGCTGACCCAACCACACGCGGGTTTAGCGCCGCTCAGGTAACAGGTCAGTCTTCTGAGAAAAGCCACTCTGGCTTAGGAACCTGGCTTCGTGTCGATTCATTGATCACTTCCCTTACCTATTATTCATGGTGGTCCAGGGAGGGAAGGTTTTCTTATGTGATCCTTGCTTCATTATACATTATGTGATCCTCGCTTCATTATACATTATGTGATCCTTGCTTCATTATACATTATATGATCCTTGCTTCATTATACATTATGTGATCCTTGCTTCATTATACATTATGTGATCCTTGCTTCATCATACATTATGTGATCCTTGCTTCACTATACATTATGTGATCCTTGCTTCATTATACATTATGTGATCCTTGCTTCATCATACATTATGTGATCCTTGCCTCATCATACATTATGTGATCCTTGCTTCATTATACATTATGTGATCCTCGCTTCATTATACATTATGTGATCCTTGCTTCATTATACATTATGTGATCCTCGCTTCATTATACATTATGTGATCCTTGCCTCATCATACATTATGTGATCCTTGCTTCATTATACATTATGTGATCCTCGCTTCATTATACATTATGTGATCCTTGCTTCATCATACATTATGTGATCCTTGCCTCATCATACATTATGTGATCCTTGCTTCATTATACATTATGTGATCCTCGCTTCATTATACATTATGTGATCCTTGCTTCATTATACATTATGTGATCCTCGCTTCATTATACATTATGTGATCCTTGCCTCATCATACATTATGTGATCCTTGCTCATTATACATTATGTGATCCTCGCTTCATTATACATTATGTGATCCTTGCTTCATCATACATTATGTGATCCTTGCCTCATCATACATTATGTGATCCTTGCTTCATTATACATTATGTGATCCTCGCTTCATTATACATTATGTGATCCTTGCTTCATTATACATTATGTGATCCTCGCTTCATTATACATTATGTGATCCTTGCCTCATCATACATTATGTGATCCTTGCTTCATTATACATTATGTGATCCTCGCTTCATTATACATTATGTGATCCTTGCTTCATTATACATTATGTGATCCTTGCCTCATCATACATTATGTGATCCTTGCTTCATTATACATTATGTGATCCTTGCTTCATTATACATTATGTGATCCTCGCTTCATTATACATTATGTGATCCTTGCTTCATTATACATTATGTGATCCTTGCTTCATTATACATTATGTGATCCAATTCATCTTTGTTTTCATTGTACATTACGTCATTTAGTGCACCTTAGTTTCACTGTGCATCCTGTTGTACACTACCTGTACTCTAACTGTACACTACCTGTACACTAACTGTACACTACCTGTACTCTAACTGTACACTACCTGTACACTAACTGTACACTACCTGTACACTAACTGTACACTACCTGTACATTAACTGTACACTACCTGTACACTAACTGTACACTACCTGTACTCTAACTGTACACTACCTGTACACTAACTGTACACTACCTGTACACTAACTGTACACTACCTGTACACTAACTGTACACTACCTGTACTCTAACTGTACACTACCTGTACACTAACTGTACACTACCTGTACTCTAACTGTACACTAACTGTAC